CACAGAACTCTTAACCATATACAGTGATCCCTCGTTTTTCGCGGGGATTGCATTCCAAAAACAACACGTGATAGGTGAAATCCATGAAGTAGTTAAGCCGGTACATTGGGTTCCCACTGATCACGTTTTGAGCATCAAAAATGCGCCTAACGCCTTGGACACACTGAAGCGTGTTCTGTGTTGAACGCAGCAGCAGACTAAACGCGTCTGAAGAGGGAGGAACACCGGTCTGTCTTAATGACCTACCCAGCCCACTGCCCCATAGACTCCCTGAGATGCTGAGTGTCCGATGGGCAGGACAAAGCCAGCATTTATCCAATGACTCGTCTCGACTCGTTTCACTGCACTCCTTAATGAACTCAGTGGAAGCTGAGCATCAACACTGTTTAAAGCACTGTGAAGCTGCGGGAATGAGTGAGAGAAAAGCTTCATCATTACCAGTGATAAGAAGCTGATTCTGAACAAAAAGTTGAGTGTAGGGGTCACCTCGAGTGAAGAAACAGGAGTTACTGCCTCAAAGCAGGTCTCGCACAGGCCTGAGAGCACACAAACTGGCAGGAACTGCTGAACTCTTATTTTAGGCCATGATGGGTCATTTTAACCTACACAAGGACTTCAGTTCTCTCTAATCAGATATTAACAGAAATAAGTTTTTCTGTTCATGATTCATTTATTGTTTAACTAAGAATGTTTATGCATTTGTTAATCATAATAATGACATGTCACAAAGAATATAGAATCACTTCTATTCTTTTATCGTGCCTAAAAGAGAGTAATGAATCACAGAAAATCATCACCATGTTTTTCATTTTCATTGTGTTTTTATAAATCACTGTTTTATTTTACTGAAACATCAGTAATATAATTTTGAGTTTTCTTAAGAAAATCTTACATTTATCTGACACAAGTTCAGACTGATTATTTAAACAGAGTGTTAATTAATCATGATAAATGTTCACAGTGGTTTCTTTTACAGCCCAGCAAAAAGAAGCAGAGAAGATATTTTCATAATGTCTGTAAACAGCTAGAGCAATGGCCTTCACAGCTTCAGCTGGCAACTCTCTTATCTTCTTTTCTTTTTCTGACTCAAGTTTATCTAAGGCGCCGACCCTGACTAACACGGACGCCTTAGAGACACAAGCAGTTTCTTGCTGGATGCCAAAGCAGCAGGACGAAGCTGTTTCTCTCCGGAGAACAGCCGGGCCGCAGGTTTGACTCAAGAGCCAATTAGAGTCGACCTGAAGCCCCAGGGACAAGAGGCAAGCCGCCTTCATGTCCACCTAAGAGACCCAGGAGTCTCTCCAGTGTTTTTCAACTCCCTGGGGGGGAGACTTTTATTTTGAGAGAYGACCGGAACCGCAGCTGGAATCTTTCTAGCCTGGCTGAGACAGACGAAGAGTTACCTAAACGACACCTTTCACCAAGGACCAGCGAGGACAAGCATCCTAGAGGGTCGTGGTGAGACAGTCTACACCAGGGGTGTTCTTAAGCAGACGCACCAGGTAACGCTGACGTGTTCGTGGTGACGTGTCAAGTTGAAGCCGAAAGCAGAGAGGACGTGCTGAATCCGGATGAAAACCTTTCAAAATTAAAGCAGAAACACTAATCCCTACTTTCTTACCTTTTCCTTACCCTTGCCAACCTAAGTGAAGTGCCAGCAAATCGTTAGTTTTAACATCAGAACTGACGTTTTACTGTCTGTATAAGTAATCTGAGTTAATGTGAAGAAATTTGGACGCGGGTTTTTATCTCATTTTAACTTGGACTCTTAGTAGGAAACCCACAATTAGATGTAATTTATGATTTGTTCAATTGTGTAAATAAATGATTGCATAATCTTTTATGAATCAACTTGAACCAGTCTGAGGTCCCTAATTGTGTCACTTCCCTTTGCACAGACAAATATTAGAGTAATGAGAAAAAACCTTAGTAAAATTTTCTCTCCTAACTTTGTTATGAGAAGTGTAAGATAAGTTATTTGCATAAATAACTCCATCTCTTACATGAGCGTGTTGTAGCACATATTTAGTCAATGACATGTACACACAACAGTATACCGTATATTTGATCACTTATTTTTTTACATTTTAGGGGAAGCTTCCCTTGCAGTCTTAGAGCAATTGCCTCTTGTGATGATAGATGGAGACATATCAAGAGCTAAAAGATGTAATCAAGATGTTGCCACAGAGTCAATGTCTCACTTGTAGCAGTGGTCATCAGGTTACTTGGTTTTATGACACCCAAACTGGAAGACTGGCTCTAACAATTTTTATTAATTTATTTATTTCATTTGTAGCAATTATATACACAACAAAAAACAAACAAAAACACATTCAAAATAAAATCAAATAAAAAGAAAGGCAGCAGAAGAAGAATAAATCTCATAATATCTGCCCCTTTTTATCCCCCGAATATGTTCAAAATGAAAGTAAATTACAACAAAAATCAAAACAACTGAAAACACACCAAAATAAATCTCAGTATCTGTTTCAAAGATCTCTGTCTAAGAGTTCAGTATGTGGAACAACTAAAAATTTTAACCAAAAGTTCAAGTTCCCAGGCCTCTGGTAATATACCCGATCAATACACATAAGCACATAAAAAAAGTGCTGATTGAACTGGGATTAATCCACCCGTCAGTGCTTTGGTAAGACTGGTAAACATGTGATCTGTCATGTGATCATATTGCCAGTTCAAAGCTCATAAAACATACTGTATGTGAGGCCAATGAAACACTGGAGGGAATCTCTGCCCACACAGAAACCATCATCGAGTCTAACCTGCCAGCTTCACACAGGTGAAGAGTCCAAGTGTGACAGTGGTTTTACTGACGACCTATTGTCTCTTATTAACTTGTTGTATCTTAGAAAGAAATAACTTGCATATCATATAACTTGTGTTTGTAGTGACATCAAGGCAATAATTTACATGTTTTGAATTGCCTATGTTATGTCAAATGTATCGTATTCATACTCTAACATCACTGTGGGATTGCAGTATCAGGGTGTATTAGAATTAGTGATATTTTCTTGTCTGACTACAGTTCCAGCCTGTGTTTCTCTYCTCATTAATGGTATCATGATATTCACCCTGAGGAGTAAACCTGTGTTTCGTGACACCTGTCGTTATGTTCTTCTGTATAAYCTTCTTGTTGCAGACACTGCTCAGCTGGCAATGAGCCAGATTCTTTACCTGCTTGCTCTTGGTAGAGTCAGACTAACATATCCTGTATGTGGTATGCTCAGTTTACTTGGTAATCTCACAGCAAATATTTCTCCCCTCATGTTGGTGGTGATGTCCTTGGAGAGATATGTAGCTGTGTGCTACCCTCTGAGGCAYGCTTCCATCATCACCATCAGAAACACAACACTGGCTATCTTTGCAAGTTGGACTGTCAGTTTACTAAATAATCTCACCCGGTGTCTTTTTTTGTTACAGTTTCCATTTGATAAACTAGAAACTTTACTTATGAAAGACTATTGCTATGATATTAACTGGTTTCCAGATTCTCTACGTGAAAATTATGACAAAGCCTACACTGTTTTTTTGTGTGTTGCAGCTGGTCTAGCAGTAATTTCCTCCTATACTGGAGTTGTACTAGCAGCTCGATCAGCTTCTACAGACAAAGTATCGGCCCTTAAAGCCCGTAAGACATTGTTGTTGCATATAGTGCAGCTGGGCCTCAGTCTGTCCTCAGCCATTTACTACCCACTAGTCTTTGCTCTTGCAAGAAATGTAACAAGAATAGTGTTTGTAGGTGTTCAGAATGTTTTCTATGTGATTATCATCATC